AAGAGAAAGCTGGTGCACTGTTGAGCTGGTCCTCAAGATGTCACTTAAAACCAGCAAGCCCTCGCCCTCCTCAACAATGCTACATTAACCTGCTGCAAAGGATGCAGCTGTGATTTGCTTTTGCCACAAGATCTCCCTGAAGAGGTGATGGAAACTGACAGCTCCCCTAACTCCCTAGCTGGCTGCTCTTTGTTGGCTTGAGTCAGGGGATTGCGGGCTTTCTGTGAGATAAGGTTATGGCCACCTGAGTGTGAACTTCTATTTGGGGAATCGCTCCTTCAACTTTGAGCTTACTTCCTCGGGACCTAGTGACAAGACATGGGGCCTCCAGGGTTTCTGCTGAGAGATTTGATGGAATGGTGAGCAACATGGTTACCAGCCTGGATTTGGGACCCCACAGCACAGTCTGCTCCATGGAAACCATCACCATCCTCTTGCCAGACCAAAAGCAAATGTCTGCTTTGTTAGACTCTCAGTGATGCTTAAATCTGGCAGAAAAAATTAAAGATGTTTGTCACTGAGCAGGTGGTCAACTCAGAGACTCAAGTGCAATTTAGTGGCCGTGAAACAAAATTTTGAAAATGAATAAGAATGTCCAATAGGGAAGGAGAATAAATTTGAAGGATGCAGAAGAGGAAAAGCAAATCATGAGGACAGCTGTGTCCTTTGATCTGCTGGGGCGCCCCCTTATTGGCATGGGCACATGGGGTGCTGCGCTTACCTGTCGTGAATAATCTGTGAATCCTCACAGGACTCCTGTCCCACCACCTTGAAGCAATTTAATGTGTCTGTCATGCATACTGAGTTCGCTCCATGGGTCTGAGGAACAGACTGCAGACCATAAGGTGGAAGGGTGTTTGTGCATAGACAAGAGACAGCCTTTGAAGACCAAGTCAGGTTTTCAAAAGAGATAAAAAGAGTTATTTTTCAAAAATTCTTTTAAAAATTAGTGTACCTCAGGGAGCTGAGCTTGAAAGGGAAGGTTGAAAATCAGAGGCAGCCTCACAACCCAGTTATCTTAGGATTTTAAGTCACTAACTTGACTCCTGCAGATCTTGGAGTCACATGTTAGAGGGAGCTCACCCCATGAAGGTGTCTCGAAGTGGAGGGATACTTGGGGGTGTCTGGAAAACAGCTACCTGGGATTGGCCTAGGATTCCAAGCTTGGTGAAAAGCAAGCTATGACCCACCTGAAATGGAACACTTGGTTGCCCATGCTTCCAGTTCACTAATGTGCTTCATTTCCTTAATCCTCCATACATTCCTGTACATTTTCACAGCATATCCTGAGTGTGGAAGACTGTGGAGGTAACAGAGGAGGGTTCAGTTCATCATAGCTGCCTTTGGGAAGCTGCTGATAGGTTTGGTGGGCACTGTGGAGGATAAAACAGAGAACAAGATGAGCTTTCTGCCCCTACTTAGGGAGATACGACCTGGCCCAGGCACAGTGAGAAGGCAGCAGTGTAGGGGGCAGTGGCTAGTCTCTGGGGGATCAGGCAGTCTGTGTCTCCAGGAGCCAGTAGTATCCTCAAGCTGGCCTGGCTCCTGGAGCCCTAGACCCTATACTGACCTTCAAGAAAATCCACAGTAATGGTCTTTATTCTAACAGTTCCTATTCCCAGAGGTGAAAGGTGAAGAGTCACCGCTAAGCATCATGGTGGGGGCTACCCAGGGGATTCTCCCTCTAACTTCCCGGACGGTGCCATTTTTGGGGGTGTCAGTTTGTCATCCTGGCTGGAGGGTCCCTCCTGAGAGTCTGGCCTAACAGAACAGAAGAACATAAATATGGATTATCAACCAGGAAGGCAAAGGCAATGGTTTTTTCTTTTTCTTTCCTTTCTTTCTTTTTTAAGAGAGCAATCAGTCGTCCCTGGTGGTTCTCGTCAAGGCTTAGTTAGCAAGCAACTTCAGGGCAAGAGGAGGGTTGGGCTGCACTGTACTTCTGCTCTGGTACTTCATAGGGACATTAACCTCAGCCATTTGAATTTTTGATTCCCATCATGTTGATTATAAAAGTCTGGTTCAGGCCCCTCAATTCTGGCTGAAGATAACCCCTGAGATGACAAGAATGCTGAGGCCAATTTGGACTTAGAGGTTTTCTAAGTATTTGTTAGACTCAGATCTCTAATAAAACCTTCTCCATTCCGTCCAGGCAAATAGGGGCTGTTCCCTGGAGACCTTAAATAATGTGTTTTCCACCCATGAGACTCTCCGCTGCCCTGGGTGTGGGACTGCCATCACTCCAGCTGCATCACCTTTATTTGCCACTGATGTTTTCTGATCACATCAAGGTGGGGAGCCACGGGTTGCATTTGGCTCCTTTCATGGTAGACTTTGCCTTATGCTCCCTTCTGGATGGGGGTCAGTTTGAGGTGAGCCCTCGATGCTAGAGGCTGCTATGATTATGTCCTCCTGGCCCCCTCAATGTGTGCCCAGTAAGTCTGTCCCTAGAGAAATGCAAATTGGAACCATAATGAGCCATCACTTCACACCCACAAGGGCGGCTAGAATAAAATGACAGATGGCAATGGGTGTTGGGAAGAATGCAAAAATCAAGATCCTCCTAGACGGCTGGTAGGAATGGAAAATGGAGAAGCTGCCTGAGAAAACAATGTAGGAATTCCTCAAAGAGAGAAGCATGGGGTTACCTGATGACCCAGTGATTCCACGCCTAGGTATGCAGCCAGAAGACGAAAGCACACAGCCCCGCCTCTGGTGCTAAAATACTATCCAGGAGCCATTATGGCTGCTGCCTTGTGACACGTGGGCAGCCAATATTCATTCATTCATTCATTCATTCATTCATTCATTCATTCACAAGTGTTGAGCACCTGAATATGTCAGGTACTAGGAAACAGTGAACAAAATACAGAGAAAATCCTTGTTTTCATGTCCCTTGGTGTACAATGGGGAGATGGAACACGTCACCAACTATGTTAAATACAGCACATAACATGTTCCACGGGGTCCTGAGTTGCAGATGATATTGCAATTTTAAATCTGGTAACTGGGAAAGACCTCACTGGCAACGGTGTAATTCAAAAGCAGATCTGAAGGATACATGGGAGAGAGCCAGGCAGAGCCCTGTGAGAATGTTCTAGACAGAGCAGTATCAAGTACAGTGGTCCTCAGTGGGGAATCGTCTACTCCAAGGCTTGTGAAACTGAGACGGTGTGAGATTGGAAGGTTGGCTGGTCACATTACTGTCAGGGCTGTCACTTTTCCCTGAATGCAATGGGGGAGTCCTGGAGAGTTGGAGGCAGAAGGGCACCTTAGATGAATCAGTCTGGCTACTTTGTGGGGAAGAGAGTTGCTTCCCTGTTACTTCTCACAGCAAGGACACCCAGTTAAGGGACAGCTGCACTAATCCAGCCAGAAATCATGGCATGTTGGGCACTGTCATAGCCGTAGAGATGGAGATTCCAGGGGTACTGCCCCATGCTCTTGGTGCAGAGAAGCAGAGATCTGATAGGCTCATGGGTAGGTTGCTCTGTATTGACATACAGCAGAGGTAAGTGGCTGGTCTCCTTGTCAAAGGATCATGGCTGTCAATCTACCATGAGATTACAGAACAAGCTGGGTTTCCTGTAAATAATGGCAGAAAGAACAGAAGTAAATTGGGAAGATTAAATTGCTTTGTTGGTTTGGTCTCCAAATTATGGAAAGAAAAACACTACATCAATTCATAAAGCAAACACACAGAGGGGCTGGTGAACCACCAGGCAGACGATCTATAAATAGTGTTCACTTTCATGATTGATTTTCTGGGTTGGCCATGAATACAATATCACCATTCCCTTTTACAGCATAAGGGAATTTTAAGATTGCCTTTTCTCTCTTTTATGCTCTTTCTTTCTTTCTCTGCTATTTTTGATTGTTATAATAGTTTCTTTTGGACTGCTCCATTGTAGTCTGTTGAAAATAAAGCCAAAAAATTTGATGAGAAACATAGAAAACAGGGAAAATTTGGAAGAACCATTTTTGCTACACAACACAGTATACATTTGTACTTAAGGAAATGTGTTCTTTAATCCAACCTGAAATAGGGTTTGAATGCTGGTGACTCTGTTTCCTTCTAGGTTTTTGGAGCATAATTAGAGTTTCAAACCTGATGATCCTCTTATAGATGATAAGGCTCCAACAGGGAACAAAACGTAAATCCTGAATTTGCAGTCTTACTCTCATTGGGGGAGACAAAAATAAAAAGCAAGTGAGTGCATATAAGACATGTTGGAGTGGGGAGCGCTGCAGAGAAAAAGCAGAGAGAGCCGGGGATGAGTGGTAATCGCCAGGGTGGAGGGCTGGCTGCCGGTTACATGGGATGGGCAGGGAGGGGTCTGCAGAGAACCTCTCTTTCAGTAAAGATGCTAAAAAGATGAAGAAGCCATGCAGATATCTGAGAGAAGGAATAACAGACACAAAGGCCCTGGGGCGTGAGGACCACTCAGGAAGCCCTGTGTCTGGACCAGAGTGTGAGATCTAGGAGTTGAATGAGATGAGGGCAAATAGGTCCTGGGGAGCAGAGCAGCTCACACAGGGGCTCAGGAAGTTGTGGTACTCACGGTGGGCTTCTCTAAGGAGGACCGAGAGGATGTGTTTTAAGACGATTGTAGAAAAGACAGAATGGGTGAAAATATTTACAAATCACATCTAATGGGGCGTAGACTATATAAAGAATTCTTCTAAGTCAGTGATATGATAAATAATCCAATTAAAACAGGCAAAGTATCTCCACTGACAATCCTCTAGAGATGTACAAGTGGCCAATACAAATCACATTCCTCTAATCGCTGGTGACATGGGATGTGAAATGATGCTCATAGTCATTAATTATTAGGGAAACAAGATGTAACCTCTACCCAACAGGATGGAAACAACCCTGTTTGAAAGCATGGGCCAGGGTGTGGAGAAATCCAGCTCTCATAAATTGCCTGGGGGTGTGAAATGGTGCAGCTGTTTGGGGAAAACAGTGCAGAAGTTTCTTTTTTATTTTCATTTTTTAAAATACAGAACACTTTGTGAATGTGCATGTCATCCTTGCTCAGGGGCCATGATACTTTTATCTGTACCATTCCAATTTTAGTACATGTACTACCAAAGCAAGTGCTTGTCCTGGAGTTTCTCAGGAGATAACTCACACACTGTCACGTGATCCCACGTGTCCCTCCCCGAGAGAAGTGAAAGGCTACACAGGGAAGTTCCCAGCAGTGCTTCAGCTCAGCCCACGTGTGGGAACAGCGCGTTTCCATCCACTCACAAATGGCTAAATAAGATGTGTCCTGTCTGTATGGTGGGACACAAAGGGGAATAAGGGGAACCAAGGAATTGTGTGGATTCTGGAACACAAATGAACCTTGAAGACCCAATTCTAAGTGCAGCAAACCTGAGGCATGCAGCCACACACCGGATGATTCTGTTTATGGTGTATGAGACAGAAGAACAGGAAAATGCAGAGACAGACTGAAGATTAGCAGATACAGGGAACTGGGGAGGGAAAATTAGTGGGTGATGACCCCAGGGTATCTTTGGAGAGTGTTCTAAACTTTATTGTGATGGGGGTGCACAATTGTGGATGTACTAAAAATAAAAATCCATGGGACTTTAAACTGGTGAATTGCATGGTGTGTGAATTGCATCTCCATACATCTCTTTAAAAATGCAATACTAAAACCCCAAAAGGACCAGGCCGGCTGCAAGATGAGAATCTTGTGTTAGGCTGGTGGCCTGGAAGCAAGCTCAGCCAGGAGGTTGTTGTATTAATCTGGGGTAACGTGATGGATAGGGGAGTCTGCATGCATTAGAGCCAGGGTCTTCCCTGCTGGCTGGATGTGGGGTGGGGAGGGGCTCGGCTGTGTTTTGGTTCCACTGTCAAAACTGGAGGTCCCTGAAACTGAGGCACCAGCAGAGGAAGCAAATCTGCAAATGGGAAAACTCTAATCCTCACCAACGGCTGAGACTGCAAGGGGGTGCAGAGCACGGGCCTTCTGCACCTCAATACGGTTAAAATCTGAATGTAGATTTCATCACAGGAAAAGTCACATGAGTGCGTGATTCCCTAAGTACTCCAGAAGAGATCTCACAGGAACATGAGCTAGGGGTTTCCATAGAGATCCTAATACACAGTGGAGGGCTGGGTGAAGAGGATGGTGGCATGGAGAGGAGAAGCAGGGGGCCACAGGGAAACCCTGCTGCCTGGGGACACAGGAAATAGATCCCTTTGGCACCAGACAATTTCACTTGCCAATGCCAAGGGAGGAGAGGCTGGTTCCTCTCCCAGTATGGAGGGAAAATACCCTGTCATCGTTTGGCTCGTTATAAGAATGAGGGAAACCGTTTTGTTCCAGGTCATAAACCAATTGCCCTCTTGTGCAGGATTAAACACTAAAAGACCAACTGGCTTTCTCTGGTGATGGGATAATAAACAAAGCAGCTGACAGATTGTCTGGAAAATGAGCCCCAGTAACAAGGGTCAAAGGAGGAAAGGGGAGGGCTGTTGATTACATGGAGCAAACTGTATTATAAAATGGCCAGGGGATTTTAAAAACCTGGTATTTTATGGTTTTGTTTTTGTGGTGCTACAGATCAAACCCAGGGCCTCGTGTGTGCTGGGGAAGTGCTCTACCGCAGGGCCACGTGCACATCCCCAGATGTTTTAATTTATTGCTAGCCTGCTGGGGAGCCACATTAAACTCATTATGTGTATTCAATACATTTGGAACTAATTGCCTTTAGATTTCTCGGGAAACGTTCCATCATACCCTCAGGTGCTGGAAATAATCTTCCTCAAGTTAGCAGCTCGTGTCTCCATTCAAATCTGTTCGGTGTGACCATTCCAATGCTCTCTGTGCCTCTCTGCTTGTGAAGAGGAGATGATTGTAATAGCTGGACCCACTCTGTGGGGTTCCCAGAGGATTGAGGTGGCGTTTGTACAGCACTGCTAATCATTCCCAGCAATTCGTAAACACTCCCAAAATGTTAGCTCTGAACCCAAACAGTTCAGTGGTCTGTCTGTACTGACTTTCAGGGCCACTAAGTATCACTTCTGGTTCAAGGGTGCTCAGTCTCTCTGAAGTAGGGGCCTCTCAGCAGCTCAGTGAGGGATGGAGAAGCCTCAGAGAACACCGGCAGGGACTGAGGTACAGGTAAGGAAGGGGGAAGTCTGTTCCCCACCAACTGCGTCTCTCAAAGGGAAGCTGCTGAGAACAGTCTCTGTGGAGAAGGTTCTTTCTGGAAACAGATGACAGAGGAGGGAGTGCAAGTGGATTGTGGGTAGCTCCAGCCGTGGCCTCCCATGTATCCCCAGAAATCCTTTTAAAAACCAAAACTAAAATGGGTTTTTAATCATAAAATATGATATCACTTCAAGATAAGAACTATTATATATTGAAATATATGATATATTCAATATAATATACATTAAACTATAAACTGTCACCTATATTTTCATCATACAATACAGAATGATTTGTGTTGTCACATAAAGACTCAAAAGTAGCCAAGCAAGAAAGCGGGAAAAAGCAGACTGGTAGGTGATTATAACAGGTACAGTTATAAGAACAACCCTTTTGAAAGTTAAATTTGTTCAGAATATTGCTTACTTAGACTTTCAGAAATGGGAGTAAATGGCTAAATGATTTATATTAGAAAATTTGAAAGTTTGGTATTTCATTAGGTTTGGTTTTTTTTGAATAAACTTGTATAATTTGGAATGATCGTGAGTTGTCCAACAAACTCACACAGTTCTGAATATCCCTCTCGGCTTCCCACTCCCCAGCCGTTACCATCCTGTGCTACTTGTCAAGTAACAGAGGTGGCACAGACATTTAGCTCGTGGAGGAGACAGCAAGAGAGAGTATGGGAGGAGAACTGAATGGGGGTTCCATTTTCCTTGAGAACCCTTCCCGACGACCCAAAGAGCTCTGAGCAGGCCCTACTTTTAGAAGTTTCCATAACCTTTCATTGGCTCTGGACCAGACCTCTAAGTGCATATAGGATCACAGGCCTTTGGAGACATTTAAGATTTAAGCTACAGAGCTCCTAGTAACAGATCCAATCAGACTTTCTTTGGACGGACGCGTGCTTTGGGATAACTGCAGTACGTCTTCCTCATCCATTTCCCAGATCAAGTGTGATGTGTTTTTCCTCCCTGGCTCTTGCATAGTACTTATTAACCAACCCTGTTTAATGAAATATTGTGTCAACTTGAGCAGATTGAGGGATCCCTGGAGAACCGTTAGAGTATCCCCTCGGGGTGCGTCTCTGATGGTGTCACCAGGGCAATGTTGGTCAGTGGTCTAGGTACAGGAGACACAGCCTTGATGTGGGTGGTTATGCAGTGGACTGGAGCCCCAACGGAAAGCAAAGAACAAGAAGAAGGGGACTTATGCTCTCTCATGTCTCCTTCCACCCTCCACGAACACTTGTCACCTGCTACCCTTGGACTTCAGAACTCCGGGTTCTTTCACCAACGACTGCAGGGCTCTCTGGACTTTGTATGCAGTCTGGTGGCTGCAGTGGCAACACCTCATGTTCTGAGACTTCCAGATAGGACTGAGCCACACTATCCATTTCTCTGGGTCTCCAGTCTGCAACTGGCCGGTGTTAGGACTTCCTAGCCTCAGTGACGATGCGATCCATTCCCCCCTAGTATCTTCTCTGTCACCTGTCCCATTGTGTGCATTTTCCTGGAGAACTCTGACTAATACAGCAGCCACTAAACATCTCTTTTGCTCTTGAATACAACATAATTACCTGCTTTACACCTCATCGTCACTGTGAAAGAATGCCACCTATCATTATCAAATATGTGCTTTTATATGCACAAGTGTAGGCAGAGTAAGCAACAGTACAGCAGGCCCTGCTCAGGATGATTAGAGTCATTTTATTGAGTTAATCTACCAATTGAAGTTCCCAATTAAATCGAGTCCTTAGAATGTAATGCCTTAAAATTATTATTATTTCTCTTTCTATGTTTTTGAAATAGAAAGGAAAGCTGGATCCGAGCTTTGGTAAGAGACAGATGACTCACTCCAGAGGGGTGACAGGAACATTTAACAGCAGCTCTTGATAAGGTGATGAGCAAATGAGGGGAGACGCTAGTTCACTGCTGGCCTGGGACACTAGCAGAGTGGGGTCTGGGAGGACCTTGGGCTGTAGGAGCCAGGGCACCAGTTATTGCAAATATTGAGGGTCACATCCGGGCAATCAAGAAGCCAGCAGTCAGCCCAGTGTTCTGATGCAGAGTTGCAAAGCAACTTGACTATAATTGAGTGTGCCCACTGGTCAGAGCTTGAGGATGTGGCAAGGGGAGCACAGCCAGCATCTTTGCGGGAAGGAACGCTAGCCCTCCTTGATAGTGTGGGTGACACAGGGACAGACCCTTCTTATGTGATGCTGTTTTCTTAGTAAGTCCAGCGCTTGTAGTTTGCTTTTGCCTGGGCTTTGTCCTTTTTCTGGTCATGTGATGGGTTATTGGTTCCTGGCTCACTTTCCCATTGTTGGGATAATACCCAACCCTTTACAGGACAAGAGTTTTATTTTGGCTCACAGTTTCAGTCCATGGTTGGCCATTCCAAAGCAGAAGCAAGATGGAGGATGGGCTTAGCAAAGGAAAAGGTGCTCAACTCATGGCCTCCAGGAAACAGAGAAGGGAGGAGCAGAGACAAGAACATCCTCATCCAGACCAGTGCCCCAGTCACCCACCTGCTACCATGCCTTACTGCCTAAGAGCCCAAGTCAGCTGTAGGGCACCATAATTCAATCATCTTCCAAAAGACCTACTTTGAGGGGACATTTCTAGCTACACCATAACAGTTCCCTTCTAAGGGGACCATTAACAGTTCCATGTCCCTTCATTTTCCCTCTGTTCCTGACCATATTCCAATTTATGTATAAGGTTTCCCCTAACTTTCTCAGCCCCACCATAACTTCTGAAACTCTTTCTGCAGATTATGACCAGCGATGTGTGAATCATCATCCCAACCAAACTCAAGAGAGGTCAGAAGGAAGAATGAGTCCTTTCTTGCTGCCTTCACTGACAGGTTCACGGGTGACAAAGACATTTTGGATCACAGTGCCTATACATGGCTGGAGCCCCATTTTGGGCTG